AAAAAAAAAAAAAAAAAAAAAACCAAGAAACTTTTCATCACATTACAAAATGCATCACAATATGGTCAGCTTAACATGTATAAAAATGAAACCTTGAGGTAGGATTGGAGGAGATAGGAAGAGTAGGAGGAATACAAAATCAGAAAGGTATTCATATGTGAATGCATATAAATAAAGTGTGTCTATTATAGAGAGTGGAGAGAAAGTGAGAGAAAGAGAGAAAGCGAGAAGGAAAAGATGGAACGGTATTCTGTGAATGCAATTTTGTAAGAGCAAGAAGCCAGCATTAAAGGGTCTTGCCCAAAATGAGTGTATACATAACACACCTGCCTTTTGTGCTTATATTTCATGTTGGGGTGATTTTTTCTTGATTATTTTAAGGGATAAATGGCATGGGAGAGTACAGTACTTTTCTTCCTCATTCACCAACAGTTCTCCAGTGAGGGGCAGAGGGAAGAGGGCTCAAGGAATAATGCTTGAATTGGTTGTATATTTTCAACTTTTGAAGAAAAGCCACTGGAAGAAGTCAGATTCAGTGACTTACTTCAAGTTGAGTCCAGATTTAAAAATATTTTGGGGCATTGCAATTGGCCTCATTTAGACTACTTAAAATCTATCTAGAGATACAAGCCCTTCTGTGTACCTGAACAACAACAAAAAAATAACATTTTAAAGATGCCTATTTTCTGAGCCCATTCACTGCTTAAGAATGAGTGGCTTAGAATTTTGCATATTTGGAACTAAATAACAAATGAGCACCATCAACAACAAGAACAGTGCCTATCACATAGATAGCATGATTCTTCAAGTTATATCAGGGCCGCATCGTCACCTGTGTGTGTTGAAAATGAAGTGTTTGTCAAAACCCTTTCTCAGCAAATTCCTGGTGCTGCCATCTAATACTCTATCACAATTCAAAGTGCCTATGTTCCCAGGAGGCAGAAAATATGAAAGTAAGGGAAATATTCTGAGATATATAGAGAGAAAATACTTCATATAGACTCAAAGCACTTGAATGAAATTGTTGATCTACCATCTGTCAGTTTCATCTAAAAGCTAGCTCTTTCTCCAAGAGGCCCTAAGATCTTTATAATACAACAAATTTCACAGCTTCAGAGTTTTTCAAACAAGATATTTCTGCTTGACCATGTCTTTTAAGGTATAGCTCATAACTTTCTGAGTAATCGATCTAAATAATTAGTGTGGATTTTTAGGGGGGACATAGAGGGTAAAGAAGTGAAAGGAGGGGAACTGTAATTGATTTCCATTTCTAAAACCAAAGTGAGTATCCCTAGTAGCCAACAAAGATTCGAGAATGCAATGGAGAGTCTTGCTTTTTTGTTCCCAACTCAGTGCATAAAGGTAGAGAGGCCTTAACCTCTGAGCCCTAGAGACATGGACATGTGGCGAGATAAAAAGAGGAAATTCTATCCTATCATTAAATTCAAGTTACAGGGTACTCGCTTACGCTTCTAGAACAGATCAGTAGTAAACCACTATCAAGTAGACTCAGTCCACTGCAGTCAACATAAATCTTTCATTTTTTTGGAAAAAATTTTATTAAGCAGTTGTATTTAAATTGAGATGGACTTGTTTTCAACACCATTCACTAGGAGAATCCCAGTCACCCCAAACCCAAGGACATTGCTGCTTCTCTATACTCGCTTGCTTCAAATGAACAGTGTGAGGAAGCCTGAGTCCCCAGCACACATAGAAAATGAAAATGTCAAATACAAATGCCTCCAACATGGAAAACCAGAATAGGAACTCAGACTTCTCAGAAGGTTCTCTGCAAACACAAGTGCTTGCCTTCTGCTAAGCAACTACATAAATGAAAAAGAGAATCACTGTTGGTAAGAGAAAAACATAAACTAACGCAGCACCCTCAAGAATACAATCAGTCTAAGCATAACAACCAATCTTGCTAAGTCTATCCCAGCCCTATATGAGTCAGAATAATTTTTTGAGCTTAATTATGTGAACTTATTATACTCACTGATTTTTTAAACTGTACAAGTAAAGACATGAATCTAAGAGATCCATTTACCCATAATTTCTCACCCATGGCTTTAATCAGATACTTATATTTCCTTAAGTCCCTACCAAGGATAATAAATTGTTTATAAGTTTTGGTTTCAAACAGTACTTCATGACATTTATAGCAATATGACTAAAATAAAATCTAACCTAGATTTAAAATATTTATACCCATTTTATACATGAGAGAAAACACGGTTAAAATTGACAGGCCAGAAAATGTGGTACAAATGAACTTCCTTCCTTTCAAAAATCAAAACATAACCTTAGTAAAGAACTCAAGTGTTGTATTACAAGTGAGAATTTCACAATACAAAACCCCATGTCAATATCAATAGATCTACAACACAAGAAAAAGAAGAAAAGAAAAAATGCTATTTCTAGGTCTGTATAGTAATGGTAAAGATTATGTGCCTGCCATCATATCAGCTGGCGACAGGACAGAGTTATGAAACTACAGAGGAGCCATTTTGTATCATCACAAATAAATTGTCAAGATACTGGCTCCTGCTTAAACAGAGGTAGGCTAATGATTTACCAGTTTCCTGCTAAGATTCCACTAAAGCACGTATTTGTAAGTTGATATTTTGTTACTTTTGGGGGGGGGGTTCTTTTTGAGACAAGGCATCCCTGTAGCCCCAGCTGTCCTGGAACTCACTATGTAGACCAGGCTGGCCTTGAGCTCACAGAGATCTGCCTGCTTCTGCCTCCCAGAGTGCTGGAATTAAAGGCGTGCACCACCACGCCAGGCCCTAGTTGATATTTTGCTACATTTTTATCTGAAAGTATTGACCTGAAGCTAGGCAAAGTAAAGTGCAAGATTTTAAAATCCACAAAGAGTTATGATGATTCAAGCACACTACCATATACAGGAAAGTGAAGACAAGTGGTCTCAATGCAAACATAGACATGATTGGGGTTAACTCAAGAGTTCCCTATACTTCTCAAGTTATCTCAAGGCTTCCAAGTTAGAACAAAAAATACAAAGCTATCTGATACTGACCTTGAAGCTACATCTCTGTTGGCTAGCATTCATATTAATAGAAGGTGCTGTTCGTATTTCTGACAGAGATAGGCAATCATCAACCTTACCCAGCCATGAACTCTGTGAGCTACAATAGTGACCGGCTTGGCAACATATACAAATGGTACAATAGTTGGCATAAATACTATGGGAATAAC